TGAGGTGGGGTGGGAGCACGGACATCGCGTGGCTGAGCGAGTGTAGTTATCTTTCGCATCTCAAGGCGCCAATTATTCTACCTAACAATTGTGCTAAAGCAGTTGTTAAAATGTCCTATCCCCAAGACAGCGCCTATCATCATACTTGCAATGCACATTACGACACAATTCAGCGTGGCAATGGGACAGCCGATAGAACTTATGTCACTCGTGCATCGAGGTGCGGAGCTATATTTTATATAACACATTAGTATTAAGGCCTTGATTGAGCAGATTGGTGTCTATTGTTTCGCACGGCAATCGTCCAGAGACGTGGGAACTGGGGGTTATGAGTAGTGCCGCAGCCAACGCTCCAATTTAAAGCGATTATTACTGTTGCTCTAATACATGTATGTGGTCGCAGCCTCCAATAGCAAACCGTTCCAACTAGGAGCCAAAAAGTCGGCCACTCAGGGGGGTTCGAACCGGGCTTCTCCCACCGGCCAATCCACGACACGAGCGTTCATCCACTGAGCTACCGAGAATGGCCCTCGTCCGCACAAAACAAAATGACATTCACCCGCTGACCGCCAATGACAGTATTGTGACATTTGATCGCGTTTGACCGCGGCGGGTGGTCGCTGGTTTCGGCAGCTCAGTGGATACACGCTAGCGTCGTGGGGTGACCGGTTGGAGAAACCCGGTTCGAACCGTCCCAGGTGCGCGACTTATTTGTTCCTAGATGGAACGGTTTGCTATTGGTGGCTGCGACCACACATTAGAGGAACATAAGAGTTTTAAAGTTGGGACACCGCGCTATCCAAAAACCCCAGTTCCCACGTCTCTGGACGATTGCTGTGCGAAATAATAGACACCAATGAGCTCAATCAAGGCCTTAATACATATCTGTTAAAAACAATGTAGCTCCGCAACTCGATGCACGTGTGATATAAATTCTATCGGCTGTCCCAATGTCACGTTTAAGTGTGTCGTAATGTGCATGGCAAGTATGATGATAGGCGCTGTCTTGGGGATAGGACATTTTAACAACTGCTTTAGCACAATTGTTAGGTAGAATAATTGGCGCCTTGAGACGCGAAAGTTAACTACACTCGCTCAGCAGCGCGATGGTCCGTGCTCCCACCCCACCTCACTCCCCAGCCCTCGCCAGCCGCCGCGCCGCGCCGACCCGAGCCATGCCTCCGGGCTCGGCCCTCACCGCTGCGCTGACGTCACAGGCGGCCCACATCGCCTTCCAGCCACCGACCCAGACCGGTGTCATACAGGTGGGTAGGCTGTGCCGCTTGACAAGTAAGTGAAGCGGCACAGTCTACCGGTACCAGGCGGCTGCTGCCAATGCTGAGCCATAGGAACCCGGTGGATAAAGAGTTGTGGAACATCAATCTGCCCCCGAGTGTACCTATCAGCCATCTTGGGTTACCGCCAGACCAGATACTCGTCGGTCGGCTATGGTTACCGCCAGACCAGATACCGTCGGTCGGCTATGGTTACCGCCAGACCTGTCCGCCGGTCGGTCAGCTACAGTTACAGTCTGTCCTGAGTGTCCACATACCTACCGTTCGACCATCATACACTCACTGCCTGTGCAGATACCCGCCGCTGGGCCTGCTACATCTACCGTCCGAGCGCCGACAGGGCAGATCCGCTCCGCAGACCGGCGTCCGATCCAGCCTTTCCGATCGAACAAAGATGGCCAAATTGAAATTCGGCGCGCGGAGTTGTTGGGCTGGCTCGGCCGGCCCGGTGAATGCCGAGCCGATTTTAATGAGGACAGCGGGAGGACCGCGGTAGGCGGAGGCGGGGACGGCGGAACAGACCTTAGCTTCACCACTCAATGGCTGCAGTGGCATGATCTTCGGCGCTCAACAGTATGACGGGTTAAGTGACGTTTAAATGGCATCTGACGTTTGCTTCAATTTCATCTTAAGCTTCGTTTTTTTTTTGTACGGAGCATAAATCTTGCTGAATGGTTCCGTTGTTTTAACATTTATTTTTAGATTTAAGCATGCTAACTTCTAACTTAAATCTTTGTACGGGTAGATCCCCGAATCAAACATCAGTGTAAACCTTTCGAAAACTATGACCACCATACTGTCCGCCAAACAGAGTGATAGCACCGATAAACCTTGGACTTTTTCTGCATACTTATTTTTAAAGTGACCATCCCACCTTAACATAAGTTTTGAGCTGATATAGCCAAATTGGTGGCCATGGCCTGCAAATACCGGTTTGGGCACTCACAACATCGAAAAATGCTTTAATTCGGAGATATGGAATTTCAAACTTGCAGTTTTTGGATTCTAAGGGGATAATGCATTGGAATGCCCCCTTATAATTTGTGACGTCAGCGGAGATCTAACGATTTTTAAATCTTAGACTAAAACTATCGTTAACACGTGGTGGTATACACTGCTTTGCGCGTAACGTCTGCCGCACTTCGAGGCTGCCAAATTATTGCTTTCAAATAAGTCGCTAGGAACAGCGGAGATCCCAAAAAGTAAACAAAAGTAAATCTTGAAAACCAGTGACTATTTTTCGGTGAAATTTGGTAGATATTCATTTTTGATCTTTCCGAACCAAGGGACCAATTTTTTATGCCAATTCATTAACTTTTTTGAAGGTGGGAGGGTCCCTTAAGTGCAAAACATCCCCGCATTTACATGGATGAAGACTCCGGCCTGAAATACTACCGCGGCTGTGATTAGCAGCACATCACTAGCAAAAAAAAAAGAGCACCGAACATTTATGTACCAGGTAAGTACCTATTTATCTACGATTATCATTAAGGGCTCAATCTCTTCATAACGATTTGCAACACTCTTATTGAGCCTTATGTTGATGTCCAGCGCTCGGAGCGGCACGGAGACCTCAGGACTATGAGGCCCAGCTGGTCAGCGCTACAGCTCAGCTGGGCAGCACCAGCCCTACCCAACTGGTCACCACTGCCGCTCAGCTGGGCAGCACCAGCCCCACCCTGCTGGTCACCACTGCCGCTCAGCTGGTCAGCACTGCCCCTCAGCTGGGCGGCACCAGTCCCACCCTGCTGGTCACCAATGCCGCTCAGCTGAGCGGCACCAGTCCCACCCAGCTGGTCACCACTGCCGCTCAGCTGCACCAGTCCCACCTGCTGGTCACCACTGCCGCTCAGCTGGGCAGCACCAGCCCCGCCCGCCGCCGCCCGCCTAACGGCCAACATCACCGGTGCCACGCGCCGCACCAGCACCTAATAAGCCGGCAATGAATTTAATCTCCTACGAACCGAGCACGCGTCGAGAGGTAATGAAAACCAACAACACATCCGCCCCCGGGAACTTGTTTTTGTCTCGAAGTTGCAAAGCTCTGAAAGTTTGTTTTTCAATAACCTCCCTTGCTTATCATCAGAGGTGCAGCTATCACCATGCAAGAGAGCACGGAATGCATTTGAAGCACCGGGGAGCCAGTAACCGATCAATCGGTTCAGAACAAAGAACGAAAGCACTTTGTCAGAATGAATTCGAATGCTTTTCCTTAAGCCGGCGCAGCCTCTCTCTTGCTCTCATTTTGCTCCAGGCACGTCCAGATTAGCAACCGGTCTCCAACAATGCATACGTAATTCCAATCAGTTATGATAACTAGGACTTGAATTAGAAACTTGGCTCGAGGATCCCAATCGTGTCTGAAGGGATAAATTTCCGCTCATACTGAGTGCATCAGCATTCCGGGCCGGGCTCTGTCCGGCGCAACTCTGTTTGAGTTTTGAAATGTTTGGCGTTGGACGCCGGATAACTGAGTTTCATATCCCCAGGTACCGTGGCCGCGAGCCGAGTTTGGCCAAACGTAGCCAACTCCGAGACACCGGCCGCATCCCGCCGAGCAGCAATCGCGGCGAGCGGCCGGGCCCGATCGGCGGCCAGCAAAGTCAGGCACCGATCGCGGAGCCGCGCTGCCGTGCCGCGTCCAACGTGACACTCCGCGGCTGGCAAGGGCAGGCCGTAATACAGCGTTAATCGACAGCTACCCATTTAACTACCTGCTCTGTCAGATGGTCTGGTCTGCCGCTGGTCTGTGGTAGGTGTGACAGCGACTGATAGGAGCGGCAGTTAGCGCGTCGTATGAAGGGCCCTCTCTTCTTCACCCGTAGGAGCAGTAAGGCTCTCCCAAACGTCCTCCCTGCTAATAGCCTCTTCCTCCCTGTCGGCATTTATGTGAAACCTCTAAAATTGTGGTTCGGGAAATGTGGAAATAACCATCTGACATAAATTTCATCACAATAACGAACAGCACTCTTCAATGGTGAAATGTCTCTAATGGAATTACCAGCACCAACAGCAGCAGCTGTTAGATTTCAAATGCACATAGCTGAGGTTTGATCAATAGCAAAGCCGAAAAAGAAAATAACAAGCCTTACAAGCCTTGGCAGCAAACACCGATAAATCCTAAGCAGGCGGTGCCTACATGCCGGGCCAGGCATCCCATTTCCTCTCCACCCGAGCGTCTCCGGTTTTATTTCATCAAACTTTCCGACAAGCCATATTTCATAGTACGCATTTACCTTTTGGAGAGGGTTATCACCGTCACCGCGCGCCCTCCATCAAAGTCGGCGGCGGAGGCGAGCGACGGCGAGAGAGAGAGAGAGAGAGAGAGAGAGAGAGAGAGAGAGAGAGAGAGAGAGAGAGAGAGAGAGAGAGAGAGAGAGAGAGAGAGAGAGAGAGAGCCGGCGAGTGTGTGGCGATCCACGCGAGGCTCACCGTCGCGCCGCCCGCTGGTCTCGTGCGCCGTTCACCGGGCGCTAACCGAATGTTTTGTTCCGTCGCGGGCCAGCTCAAAATACACCTTCGATCGCGCGCGGCGAGACCGCGTGTGAGCGCGCCCGGAGAGATCTGACGGTGTTCCAAAATAAATTGAAGGCGGCGCCGCAGTGCGCAGTGCCGTAATGGAGAGATCTGCTGCCACTTATGTCTCGCTGAGTGCGGCCCGCATCAAAACAAACCGGGCGGGGTCGGCGCCGCTGCGATACTCACGAGATCTCGCCGAACGGAGCGAAGGCGTCCCGCAGGGTGTGCGTCTCGATCTCAGGACTGAGGTCGCCGACGAATATGTGAAAATGCTCTGAAACGAGAGAAGGAGAAAATCAACATTTATGTCTCAGTAAAAATTCCCTCTCACCACACACGAACACAACCGGAGCTCAACACGGGACCCAGGAATTGTCTCGTCTCACACACATACACACAGGTCAGCGCCGGTTACTGTGTGCGGTGACGATGAGAGCGCAGGTCCATCTGACGACGCCTTCCGCCGTGCGCAGCTCGGCCGGCCTGGGACACTGCAGCTCGGCCCGCCGGGACATGGGGGCCGCCAAACGAGCCAAGTTAGCCGTCCGGACGGCCGGGCGGGGCGGCGCGGCGAGCCGCAGTGTCAATACGGAGCCGACACGCCGTAAACAGGGGCGCCGCGCCGCGCCGCGCCGGTCGGCGGCGGGCGTGGCCGGCGGGGCGGGGCGCGGCGCGGCGCGGCGGGGTGGGGACGGTCGCCGGGTATCGCAGCTCGTGCCGCTCCCACGCCCCGCTGCGGCCACTCTCAGCGCCCCAGGCAAACAGACGGAGCCGGGGATTAACACTGCCCGGCGGCCGGCAGGCAGGACTGCCGCCCAAGCCCGATAGCTGGCACGGTGCGACGCTGCCCCCCACCAACACCTGGAGACCCACTACACACTCATTATATCAACAAGCGCAAGCAAACAGGACAATATACCCCGGTAATGCAAAACTTAATTATTGATAAAACACTTTATTTTGTCGAGACGACACCTATGGGAGAAATTAACTGGACAAATTGGGAAGCTTAACTCTGGGTTAGCGTTCTTTCAGGCGAAACGGGCTTGATGGTGTGATGTCTGGGAACGCTTAACATTTTTAATCTGCAGCTACGCATCGGGCGAGCACGAATAACACACGTACTTAACCACCACCACGTCCCTAACCAATTTGGGCAGCTCACCAACAGTTTGCTCCCATTTGGATAGCTTTCATTTTCTACATATATGAACGGCTATTTCAGTAGCGGAACAAACAATGGCTACCGGCCAATATGGAGGTGAGCCATCATATGGTAAAACGATTGGGTGCAGCCCCACTTTCAATCAAAGACAATCTAGCCGTTCACAAATCGCTCGGTCCACAAACATGAATACGACATTATGCAGTAATAACCCAGCGACGAAAACAAAGGGAAACATATTCAGGACAAAAAATGTATCAACGTTAGTGACGGAAAACTGCTGCACGAAGAACGCAGGCTATTCGTGCACGAATACTCGTACAGCCTATTCGTCAACGAAACAAAGGCGAAATAACCGTGAACAGCATACAATTTTTTTACCCATTTCAACACAAAAGGATTGGGACTGTTTCATTTTTGTATGAAAACTTGAACGTTACAGCTGCCATGCTACCTATTCATCAGTTTTTATACAACTCGAATGTAATCGTAGTTTTTCATTAATACGTTGGTAAAAAACGCAATTTTTCGAGATATTCAGTAAAAGCTTTGATGGTAGTCATACGTTAGATCCATTCTTTTAACAGAAAAGAGCGATGCTCTTACTAAGAAGCATCTTTACATAAATGAATGAAGAAGAAAATAGAAAGAAGCCACTTCAACACAAAAATATGTAAAAAGACAGTATTTGATGAGCCATGCTAGCTCGAAACCTGAAAATATGTACCTACTTAACAAGCCCATTGATATTCCTCAGCTGACTTAGTCCTAAAATCTTTGCAAAGGAAAATCGATAAATAAATGCCTCGAATTGCTAAGCAACGGGTTTTTTTAACAGCGGGCCGGCAATGGGCGTCGTTTAGCCCCTTTGGGCGTTCCCGTGGCAGCCGGGTCCCTGGGATCAGAGCCCTTCGCTAAGCTGAGCCAATTTGGTGGACCCTGCCGCCTCCCATCCGATCTCGCAATTCTTGTTCACCGGCGGAATTTAGATCGAATGCCTGCCGGTGTGCTGGGTTCAGCCGGGCCCTGCCAGTCGACTGACCTTTCCCACCGCGGAGGGCCGGCGCCGGTGCGTGGCGTGACGGCGGCAGCCGGCCCGTGACCGGCCACACGTGCCGGCCGTGACCACAGGTGCCGGCCGTGATGGCCCACAGGTGCGCAGCAGGACACCGGCCACGTACCCAGAGCCGACGGTCCCGCCGTCCGCCCCGCTCGGCCACCGCGGACGGTGATATTAGAATTTCATAACTTGGAATCTTTCTAAGGCAGATTTTACTGTTAACCATAAGTAGGTACGACTCCACATATTGCAGTTTCTACAGCAGATGAAAAACTTAGTTCAGGTGTATTATTGAGGAATTCTAAGCTCCAGCTCTGCAGACAGTGTGCTTTGAGTGTCATCGCTCTGTCGTACTGAAGGATGCTGGGCCGCGCCTCTCCTTTCGCTCCCGTCTGCGGCCGGCCCTCTCCGCGGGTCCGTCGGCGCGATGCGGCGGCTATATCCCGGTCTTCGGTAGCTTATTTCCGGCGCAGCTCGGGCCGGCGGCGCCATTCGGACCGGCCATTGGCCGAATACGCCCGCCAAACCAAGACAAATAACGGACAGCGTCGGATAAGACGCTTTAATCACGGCGACACGACCAACTCCTGGGGGAAATAAGCAGGCAGATCGGCCGACAGCGGTGAGCACCTCGGCCGGGCCATTACCGGCGGCGCACCAGCCAGCAGCCGGCGCCGGCGGCGAGGTCATTTGCGGCGCCTCCTACGGGGCACCAAACGAAGAGCAATGCTCCTCACGATGCTGCGTTCGTTGCCGGGAAAGGCGATAGAGAGGAGAGGAGGCTCGAGCAGCGGCGCGGGATAATCAGCTAAGCGGCTCTGACCATTGACTGGCGAACATACATGACAGGAGAATTTGTGTAACATTGAACAGCATCGGCGTGTGAGCTGACCAGGTTCGGCCCGGGCACACCAGAGGGGCAGCGCGCCGGTCGGGTTGATCACCAGAATGCTGCACGGACCCGTCTGTACCATTAGGCGGGCCCAGCTGTGCCATTAGGCACACCCAGGCGGGCCATTCGACCGGCCAGTTTTGCGATGGAGCGCATCCAGCGCTTTCCCTCCGAGAGGTCGGTGTCTGTCGGCCCTCGCAGCTACCCATCCGGATGAGGCGTGCAGGCCGCCACCAGCGGCGCGCGGCTGACATTTCGGGCATTAACTATTGAGCCGAGTGTCGAGCCGGGCGGGTCGACGGTGCGGAGCGGCCGTCCGGGTGCGTCGGATTGGCCGCGCCGCGCCGCGATGGCCTTCATTCGCAGCTACGCCAGATTGCATGTATTTTGGATGCTGCCGAACAAATGCAATGAATGCTACATCGTGAAAAATGGAAGCAATTAACACGATGCGACCGATCCACAGCTGGCGAGAGATGTACATATGTTGATTACAAGGTTGGATGAATTTTTCCCCTTGAGGTCCAGTCGCAGCAGACTGGGCCGCAAAAAAGGCTCAACGAAATCGCCACCGAAACACTTTCCCAAGAAAGCCCGTGAGACTCCTTGAATATGCGAACTTTACAACCAAAGTCGGGCGAAGCACACATTTTCACGCCTGAATTTATGTCCGAAACTCACACTGTCGGAAGTGTCGGGAATAAAGGCCGACATTAGATGCACTCGCCGGGCCGACTGCGGCGCCGCGGCAAACTTTTGATTCGGCGAATGTGTTTCTGCTGAATTCGGGACACCTCATTCGGGCCCATATTTTTCACGCCACATCCCACTACTAGCCCAGTCAGAATGGGGTGGATCCGGCCTTAAAGTCGCCCGTTTAGCTGATCAGCAAGAGCGCTAAAAGCCAATAACCTCTGATGACATCAAACAAGATCGTACGCTTCTGGCTCAAGCCATTTTCTCTGCAGCGAGCATGTCTAACGTAGCCGTCTGATATATGTTGAGGAAGCGCATTTAACTCGGCTGTCACTTTCACGTGATGTATGAAATGATAGACGCCGTCATATGTGCGAAAATAGCAGCGGATGAATAATCACCGCATTCCAAACCAGATGAAAACATTGTCACCCTCACCACGACAACATAGTTGCTCATTTGTCTCGAGTGCGTTTAGAAGGTACATTTGTTTGCTATGTAATCGAAATCGAAGGTAAGTTGTACGTCGAAGGTAACGGAAACTAAAAATGTGCCCTAGCATTAGGAATATGATTTTAAAATATCAGTGAGTGTACGCGCCTCACATTCTGTGAGGATTTATCCCTTCCGATGATGGGTCGTTGTGAGCCGTCAGTGGTATCTAGACGCTATGCAGCTACATATTACCTGAGCGCGTTTCCGGCAGGCCGAGTCGGCCGCTCGGGAGCAGTAGCTACGTGCCGAGTTACATCTGAAGCCGAGCCGACGGCCGCGCCCGGCCGGCCCATCGGCGCCAATGGACGAGCGCGACCGCACGCGCATACTAACCGGGCCCCGGTCAATTGAGAGCCGTCACCGGACACATGCCCGCGCTAAGCTGCCGTTACATGGCCGGCGAGCCGCGCACACAGCTGCGGCTACATGTCCTTCCGGGAGCCGTCCTAACAGCCTCAGCAGCTACTACGTGATTTTCGAAAATTACACTAATGTGAATTGAAGATGGATTGGCAAACGTAAAAAAGTGAATTTTAGCAAAAAGGCTACTGTGTAAAAAATGCATGTCGCCGAAAATAGGGCATGCGAACGGAATGTCGCACAACTACATAGGTCAACAACCCTGCAGCCATGCATTCGTCTAAAAAACTCTAATGGCAACGAGACACTGTCAAACGCCGAATGATGTGCGACATCACTTGGCACACCTTCCGGATGTAAGTTGACCCCGGCGACACCTATCACGACGCCCGGGGTCGCTGGGGCCCGAACTGCGCTGCCCGCCCAGGGGCAGGTGTGCCGGACCTCCACCGGCACGAGTCGGCTGTAATTCGTCTGATTGCCAAACTCGGTAAACCCGCGCCCGATCGGCGACCGGCGGCCGATTGTACCATTCTCCCGGCAAGTTTCCTCTCTAGCAGCCGGGTCTATTGTGGAAACGTCGCCGGAGGGGCCAGCTGGGCTCCA